TGAATTTACTTTACCCTGAGTAAAAGAGAAAGGCAGAATGATTGCACAAGGAGAATCCAGAGTCCCTTACCTCTATATAAGGCAGCTCCCTCTCCTCAGAAGAACCTAAGTTTTTGAACTTCAGACACTCTCTCTAGTCTGATTTCAGAACTACATTACAAGCCTCTAATACTTGTAAAACATACCCTTCTCTTGTAAAGCCTTCTTCAATGATAAAGAAGAGCTCAGAAGCCTTTTTATTTACCGCTTATTTCCACTAGACCAATAGTTCTAGTGTTGTAAGTATTTATTTTCTTGTAATACTATTTCCTGTATTTTCCATCCTCATATGCTTTCTATTCTATTCCCATCTATTTCGCATGTATGTCTATATATATATAGGTATTGTCTTCTGCAATATGAGATTAATAGGCAATCTCACACACGAGCAAAGCACCTATAAAATCAGAGGCGAATGAACTGAGAATCAAAGTCATAAATTTACGGTCTCACTCAGCAAATTAAGGAAACCTGAGATGTCAACTGCAAAATACATATAAAAAAATAATTGACAACATCGGAAATATGTTGAATTTTTTTTTTAAAAACCAAACAAACAGAGATACAGTGTGCGGAAATAGATATGTGCTCGCATTCACATAAATATAGACAAAAAAAATTGTGGAAAAAACAGAAATATTACAGTAGTAAAATATCAACAGTTATCATAAAAGAGTCCAAAATAAAGCAGAAAATCATAAAAAAATGAAAAATTTCATCCACACCCATTCTAGTTTACTATATACACCCCCATCGATCAAAAACATTATTGACACTCTTTCTAGTTTATATTTAAACATCACTTATACCTTGCCATTGAACCGCCATTTTTAGCAAAAAAAAATTTATCTAAAATATCAAAAATACCCTTACATAAACCCAAACAAATTTGAACAAATTAAACTTCAAACCGATTAAATTTATTTTTTTTTATATAAAAATTTGAATTGATTAAAATTAGTTTTCTACATATTAAAATTTGAGTCAACTAGAATTCAATTCGAGCTGATTAAATTTTACATGTGTAAATTACACAGGCACACCCTGACTTTTTTGGTTTATTACACGGACACCCCCTGACTTTTGACAAATGACACTTGGACCCCAACGACGTTAGAAATGAAACGTTGCTAACAGAAAATGCAAAATGACAATCTTACCCTATTTTTGTTATCACAAAAAAAAAAATTGATAATTCAGTTCAAAATCAAAATGATTATAATAGCCTTGTAAAATATCTTTGTACTGAACTAAAACACCATTCGTCACATCTAGAGAGAAGGCAAAAGAGAACCCAAATCAGACGAGAGAATCGATTCAACCCCAAATGGTCTTTGACATATTCATGCATCGATTCAACCCCAAATTGTGCATACTCCACTTCAAAATCAGAGAAATCCAAACCCTAAACCACTATCACCATGCTTGAATCAGAGAAATCCAAGCCTTGAACCACTATCACCATGCTTGAATTAGAGAAACCCTAACCCTAATCCCCCCATCATTTTTACCTGTTTCAAAAACACAAATCTGCAAGGCATTGTTGTCCTAACTTAGAAAGGGCGAAGTCTAGATTTGGCTCTTCATCTTCTATGAAGCATCTCGTTTAAGGTATCTTCTTCTGACTCTTCAATCCATCACAGGTTTGGCACTTGTCATTTTTTGGCACATCTCTTTTTCATTTTTCATTTTGTTGGCACATCTATTTTTTATGTTTTAGTCACCCAGTAAGAGACAATATTGTTCATCGTAAGAGACATTGTTCTCCATCACTCCTTCCTCATCTATTTTCATTTTTTGGCCATTTAAAGGTTTTGCAGAAATGGGCAAGCAAGAACATGACATTGTTGTTAATTTAAACAACTCTATTTTCACCATTAATAAGGTCAACCTTGATAGGTATTGTTGTATGGATATGGTATCAAATGTTGCAGAAATTACCAATGTTTTTATGGGTGATAGTTTATCGAAAGTAATGATTGCTATTATAGTTGATAGGCCAAATGGTAGGGGAAAACTTGTACTTGATGACAATGAACAATTACAAGAAATGTTTTCTTTGTATAAAAATTGTAAGGAGATACCTGTATTTGTGAACGTTGAAGTTGGGTCTAAGTGAGACTCCCACCTCTAGATGTAGGAATAGGTGAAGAGTCTAATGTTGATGACATTGAACCTAATGTTGAAAATGATGACAGGGATGCAAATACGCATGAAGTTGATTGTGTAAATGGGGATGGACATGCGGGTGGGGGTGGTAAAAATGATGACATGGATGCAAATAAACATGACGTTGATGATGTAAATGATGACAATGTTTATAGTTTCAGTTCTAAGGATGATGAATGGATAGTTGATGGTGATGATGCCCCCGATGTTAGTTATGAGCACAATGATGATACCATGTGTGCCTTGGGCGTTATGACCCCTTTCTGAGCTTGAAATTCGTCGTAGTCCATAACCATGTTCAGTACAGGGAGGCATTATAATTAACTGGGGATAACACCAAGCAAAGAACCTGCACCCCCCTTTCTCACAATTAAAATACAATCTCCCTTTTGATGGCTTCTCGGTTTCCACTATCCGTATTGCTGCCTTCTTTCCACAATTACATTGTGTTCCAACGAACCTTAAATCCAACATCTCATTTCCTCCAAATCCTTCTTCGTTTCCACCTCCAAATCCTTCTTTGTTTCCACCTCCAAATCTATTGCTAGAAGAAGATGACATGTTTTGTGCCTATAGTTACTACATACAACAAAATACCAGTCATATTATGTCAATGACAGACACACCCCTTGCCTTTTACATAACAATAGAAAAACCCCTTCTGATAACACTTGCTATAACAGTGAGACCCCATCCACATCTAACATAGACAATGCATATATATACTGTTGTTATATGTGTATATGTATATCCATTTATAACTGTATACAAAAAAAATAGATGGACATAGAGATATGGAAGAAGACAAAAAAATAAGAGAACCCTTACCTGCCGAATGAGAAACTTTAGGAGAGGAAAATGGGTTTTTAAATGAAAAGGAAAGGGTAAAATTGGCATTTCAATAATCAGTTTGAAATACAATACTTTTGTAGACTTTGACTTTTACCAGATGGGGGCATTATTAGAATTATAACAGATTTTTTGGCTGATGTTGTTATATTCCATTAGCATGTCTAACGTTTGTCAAGTATAGGGGGCCTAGATGTAACGAATTTCAAATGTGAAGGGGTTCGAGTGTCATTTGTCAAAAGTCAAGGGGTGTCCGTGTAATAAACCAAAAAATTAGGGGGTGTTCGTGTAATTTATTCATTTTATTTTTTTTTACATATTAAAATTCAAACATATTAAAAAATAATTTTACGTATTAAAATTCGAGCCGATTTGAGCTCTACCCGAACTGTTACCATTGATTAAAATTTATATTTTTTTTATTTATTAAAATTCATGTCAATTAAAATTTCATTCAAGTTTATTAAAATTTATTTTTTATGTATTAACATTTGAGTAGATTAAAATTTATATCTTTTAATGTATCAAAATTTGGACAGATTAAAATTTTATGCGAGTTGATTAAAATTTGATTTGAGCCAATTAAATATTAATCGACACGAATTTTAATGGACTCAAATTTTAATCAATAAAAAATAAATTTTAATTAACTCAAATCGAATTTTAATACGTAAAAAAAAATTAAAAATAAGGGGTCTTATTAAAGATATGTTTATCTAGATGGGGTGTGGATAAAGTTTTTTTCAAATATTTTGTAGATAATTTAGTAAAATTACATTATAATTAACATCTTTAATCTGATAGAGATGTCAGCAAAAATTCAAAAAATAGAGGAAATGACTTTAAAAATATGATAAATTAGAAACGATGTAACTAAAATTTTTGCCAAAAATAAAAAAGGCGCACCCTGACAGACTGAACCTAGCTTCTCTCTTAGCAGTAAAGACACAAACACTCTGGCTTTTCTCTCCTTTTGTATACGATCGGTAATACATATGAATGTATATATCAGATAGAGAGGTTTTTTTTTTTCTTTTTTTCGGGAATGGGAATGGGGATGTAGACGAGAGAAAGGAGAAGGGAGCTTGAACCTTTGACCTCAAGAAAGTAAAGTCTCCGCATAGTAAAAAGCAGTAGAGCAAAGACCACTTGATAGACCGACAGAGAAGTAAGGAGAAAATAAGAAAGTTAATCTCCTACCGAACAGAGAATACCTGATAGTTTGACACTTTTAGTCGCCCAAAAAACACGAAGGTCCGCCTGAGAAAGAAGGAGTTCTTAGGTGAAGTCGCCGGGAATTGGATATCACGCGCGTCGGCCGGAGCATGCAGACAGAGAGAGATGGGAAACAGTGAAGGGAGTAGTGAGAACATGCGTGAGTGAGAAGCAAAAATTGTGCCTCAGCAACTTTATTGTTGAGACAAATCTTTCCTAAGATTTCTCTACAAGATTGCCCACAATCACAGATGCGTAATTGGTGTGTGTCCCCACCAATCTCGGCAATTGTTGGCTGCATTGTCTTCCTTTTGACTAATGAATTCAATATTAGCTGCAATCCACTTATTTTATACGTTATCTAATTTGTCTTCTTGTTCCATACAACTGTACATGGCTTCTTCTTATGTATAGTCAATGAAATAAACCCAGAATGGTCAAGGGGAAATTACACCAAAATCCTTTTTCTTACATTTATAATGGGTCAGTGATAAAAGGTGGCTTCGGACTCCAAATGTTTGGTCGCTGCAGTGAATTTTGAAAAAAAAAAAAAAAAAGTACTAGATTCTTTAAGATTTGTCACTTAATTACTTAAATTTTTAATATTTAAAATATTATACACAGATTTTCTAAGGTTTGTACACGCGTAACATTTAGACTTCTATTGTCAATTTCCGTTAGAATATCTGTTAGTAAATAATATTTAAAACTCCTGAAGTTTGTGTAAGTATAATATTTAAACCCCTCAAATTTAAATTGTTATACTTAGACAAAAAATACTCTAATAAAAGATAAAATAATAAAATATTAAATATCTTAAATTTAACAACCAAAATTCTATGTATAATATGTCATTTATTGATTTTAAATTAAAAATAAAAATATAATTTTTTGTTAAAAAAATCATAATTAGTATAAAATTATATTATTTATATGAAATAAAACTACAAAAATAAACAATAGGTCAAACTGTAATGGATACAATATCTTCTATCTTTAATTAAAATAGTTTGATCGTTTAATAGATAATATAATTGTATAGTAATTATAATTTTTTTTTTAAAAATAAATTTTTAATTTTAATTTTATTTTAATAAAAGACATAATAGAACATAAATTATAATTATAAAATTTAAAGTATTTAAGATTCTATCTTTGATTAGATTATTTTTTATGCAAGTGTACTATTTAAATTTGAGAAGTCTAAGTATTACATATTTATAAATTTTAGGAAATTTGAGTATAATTTACTAATGAATATTGGACACTAATGGCAAAGGTATAAGTGTTATGTGCATATTAACTTCAGGAAATGTGTATAATATTTCAATTATTAGGGGTTTAAGTGATTAATTAACAAATTTTAGAGGGTCTAAATGTAATTTCCCTTAAAAAAAGGCAAATGGTATTACAAACTTTTCAAAAAAAAAAAATTGCTTTTTGCTTTTTGCTTTTTTTCTTTTTTGGGTTTTTTCTTTTTAAAGCAAAATATTTATAAAAAAAAATTAAAAAGTAGCATTCATTTTTTAGCAAAAAAAAACTTTGAAGAAGCAAAATAAAAAAGTAGTACTTTTTCAAAAAAAAATTACATATTCAAAGCAAATAACATATTTTACGCAAAAAAAAATATGAATATATGTTAATACACCAAAATTCACACACTAGGACACTAAAATACATGCACTAATACATCAAAACATACAAATACACACATTAATGCACTAACACATATAACACACTAATACACCAAAATATGAACATAGACAATAATATACAAAAACATACACAGTCTCTCTCTCTCTCTCTATAATTTGTATTTATATCTATATCTATATCTATACTATTAATAAAAGTAAATTTTTAATTTATTATTTTACCCTCATAAAAAAATATAAAACTACATGTTCTTTTGTATTTAAATAAATAAATTACAATTATATATAAGAAGAACATAGAAAATAAGTCCATTGGATGTTTATAGTTATGAAGATAATACAAACAATTTAAGTATGATAAATATGAGATAATATTTAATTTTGCTACATTATTAGATTTTTTTGTATGTTTTATCAAATGTATTAACAAAAAAATTTATGTGCAACACACGTAGTCATTGTTAGTACACTAAAATACATGCACGTTAATATGCCAAAACACACACACACACATCCACATAAACTAAAACACTAAAACACACACACAACTAATATATCAAAACACACATACACTAGGACATTAAAACACACACACACACACACACTAATACACCAAAACATACACATATACTAATACATACATACACTAATTCAAAAAAAATACACACACAAATACACAAAAAAAACACACATTCACATGCACACTACGACACCAAAAAAAAATAAATACACACACATAGTAAATATACCAAAACACACACACATCATTTAATTCATGTGTTATGGATCAATTCAGATTAATCAAAACCGGTGTTATTGTCTTATGCAAAATGTAGTACAAATTCGTAGTTATTTTGTTATACTAGTTGATGTAGACGTGCATTGTACGTGAATTTTTTTGAATTATGATTTATTTTTTATTTTAAAATCAAATTATACGATAACAAATAATATCCAAAACAAAAATCTAATCAACAAAAACAGGGATTATTTGAAAATTCAATCTGCTTAGGATACAAGAAATACAAGGAAACAATCTTCTATTAACCCTAACACTTAGCTAATGTTGAGCGCACTTAAACAAATTTCATAAACATACTTCATAAAACTAAGCATGTTATAAATAGACCATTGGCCCAGTTATACCACTCATAAGAAGAACCCCATTAGACCAACTTAGGTAAAGCAAGTAGTTCCAGAGTCTTCATTTCAGTTGCGCATCTAGCATATGGACCAAACTTGATGACACCTTTATAACTGCATATATGTGATCCTTCCTCACCTCTCTCTAATATTTACAATGTCAAAAATAATTTATCAGCCAAATTGGGGAAGAGATAATTTTAATAAGACTGTTATTTAAAAAAAAACCAAATGCTCAAACAAGTAGTGCACAAGAAAATCAAATTTTTTCGTTACCAAGTTAAATATTGAGAAGTCCCAAAAGGAATATGATGATACCTATACATCATAGATACATGACAAACTGTTTTTCTTTTCCATGTACAATTCTCAAATCCTAGCATTACAAGGTGAGGAACAAATTCT